TTTTTAAAATTATTTTTTTATAGCATATTCAATTTTCATTAACATGTGTGAAAAAACTTTACCTTGAAATATCAACAAAATGAATTTTTCAAAAGGATTTTCTATATTAATGATAACGGTACTTAGATCAAACACAAAGACAATAATTGATCAGATTCCAAATGAACAAATTCAAACTTGAAAAAAATCTTTCTGATTCTCGAAGAATGAGGGGCAAAGTTTCCTGTTGATGCTTTTAGGACCTAGCAGCTTCTTAGTCTGAGAAGATTAGCGGAATTTTGTCGTTTTCTGGACCTCAAGTATGATAGTTACAAAATAAAATTATCAAAGTGATAATACAATCCTCGATGTGACATATCCAATAGTGAAGGGGCCAGAGAAATGTAATGATCCAATTAAAGGTGGAAATACAGTCTCAAAAATAGGAGTCATGCCATTTAAGAAACAAATAAGGTGAATCGTTGAAAACAGGATAACGCAAGAGACAAATTGTAGAGATAAAACATAATTTACGATGATGCAAGGTATGTCTTTGGTGCAAAATAAGCCTTAACTTGAAAGATATAATTAAAATATTTCAACATTAATTTAGGTCCAAAATGTATACTTTCATGGAGATTGAGGTGTCGTCCCATAATTCTCAATCAATATTATACTTTTAGATTTCATTTTAAAATATTTAAAACTGTAATGAAATGAATGGTTATGATATTTAATAATTTATCTTTTAAAAAAACGTAGGAGTGCTACATAAGAAAAGGTCACGAAAGATTAGTGCTAATGTACAAGAATCGATTCTTAAAAGATGGCATTACTCTTGTTGAAAGGCAAAGGTATATTTGTGTGTGTGTGTGTGTGTGTAATTAATAATGAATTCAGTACACTTGTAGTTAAAAATACGACTGATATCCAAGCTTTTCTTCATGCATCCTGATTAATAACAACTGTTGATGATGATCAAAATTAGAAATAATGACAAGCCTGTATATTTTGCGTTATGGCCCAAAGGGAAATGGGTGGAGCGAAAAGTCTTTCCCAAATGAGAGAGCTAGGAATCTATCCCTAATTAATTAACAAGTAAATGTCTAAAATTATCACCTGAAATCTCTACGTTCACGTCAAACTGTCAAAGTGGGGGGAAAGTAGGCTAGTTGGTAAAGTGTCTAATGCAAAAATCATCTCCGAAAACAGCAAGCATATTGATATACAGGATCAAATTTGATTCAGATCAAGAACAAGATTAAAATAAAGCGAAGGAATTGAAAGATTCAATATTTTGGGAAAAGGGAGTAAATCAAAGATGTCAAGCCGGCGAAACCATCGTCGATCTTTGTCTGGAATGCGTAAAATAGCACAGATTTGGATTATCAAGGTGGGGAAGACACGATTCGACCTGTGAGCGTTCTTTTAAATTTCTAAATTTTACTTTCGTTGGTCCACATGTGGGTGCATGCCTTCAGTTTAACGTAAGCAATGTGGGAATTTTATGGGCCATAAGATGGGCCCATATGTAAATTCTCTGGCCTTCTTTTATACCCGGATAGAAAGGAACGCTTTTATCATTCAACAGTTGGTGACTTGAAGGGGGCCCATAATAGAAAATCTACCTGGCACACCGTCACAGCCTGGAGCCCTAGACTCTCTTTTTCTTTTTGTTATTTTTCGCTTTCTTTTCCTGCCATCCAAACTACTTGTCCTTTACTGTTCTATTCTGTTTCTATTCACCTCCCGCTTTGATTCCTTTCCTTTCCTTAAAATATCATTTCCAGACAAGTAAAGACATCCTCCCAACTTTAATGATTACAGACCCAAAATCTTTGACTGCTGTCTAATCTCTCTCTTTTCTCTCAAACTCCACCGCAATATCATCGATCGATGTACGCCTGTGGTTCTAATTATTTCCCCCATTGATGCAGAAGCATGATCGATCAAAATACATAGCGCAAGGGTTTGATTTGCATGCACACACACACACACTCACTCTTGGCTCCACAGCTTATCATTTTAAGCACGGCAATACTATATATAATCGGCAAGCTAGTTTTGATCGGCGCCATGAAAAAGGTCTTCCGACCGTGAAATCGAAATATACATGATCAGTAAATTATAGCATGCACGCAAGCTAACTAAGATGACCAAACCCAAATGTCTCTCTGGTTTAATTTGAAGTCCAGCACACCGGATAATAATTAAAACACAACGAGCCGGAGAAAACCGGTAGTTTTTATTATAAAAACGTAAGCTACTAACTTTGATGAGAGTTCCTTTTCTCTTGTGTGGACAGGTCCATATGGTTCTTACGCTCAAAGGTGGATATAATTTGAATTAATTTTTGTGCGACCCAGTTAGATTGAGAAAGAGAGAGATGTAGGGTTTCAAGGGTCCTTTGCCAAAAGATCCTTTTGCATTCTTTACCAGCCACACTCCACAATATTCATCACGTATTATAACATAGATATAGTAGCTAGCTTCACTTAATTAAGAACCTTATCAACCTTGTATGTGAATTAACATGCATGAACAAGAAGCTTTTGATTGGCATAAAAGAGATTCCGAATTCTTCTTTTTCACCAATGGGATTGCAAAAATATGGTAGCTAGCTAGACGCTCCTACATGTAAGAGAAAAGGAAAAAGCAACTTGATCCACCAACTTCTAACCAGAAGTTGCAGTACCCACATTTTGATTCTCATAAACAGTTACGTAGGTTGCCATATACCACATGGGTTCGATTCATTCTTTATTAGTATAGTTGTCTTTCTTTATTTTAGTTGTTTTTTCCTTTCTCAAGAGTGATAGACAGTAGTGTTATCATGTTAAATGGACTCTAAAGTCCGGAAACCTTTCACACGATCGATCTAGATCTAATTAAGTACCCGAGTTTTTAGATTTATTAACAAAATTTTATCGACATCCTCATGAATAGAAATAATATATCAGAAAAACTTTTATCATTAATTTATGGTATATCAATAAAAAATTTATAGATACATTTATTAAGGGTAAAGCATGTAAAAAAAAACTTTACTTGTTTTATTGTGTCGGTATTTCCATCGCTCATCATACAAAAAAAAAAATTATATATCATTCAATCAATGAATTTGATATGTAACCTTCAGACCGTATATTATTATGTCAGTGATTAAATAATAATAATAATAATATTTAACGTAATTATTTTTCAACATTTTATAATAAACCGACAAATTATGTCCATCGGTAACCCTGTCAGTAATGATTTAAAAATATATATTTTTAAAAAATCTATTAAACAGAAACAATAAAAATAAAAAAATATATAAAATTCAAGTATTTATTACAAATTTAAATATTTATAAATTCAAATACAATTAATCTAAAATAGTGACGTTGAAGGAGGAGGAGATCCATGTCTCAGGTGCCTGTTATAGGTCGTCATCTTATGACTCGTGATTGTCAGAAACAGTGCTAAAAGAACCAATAGTGATTTTGTTCATACAACATGTTACTGACTATTGTCTAGATATCTATATAAATTAAAGGATAAGGTATCGTAAATTATTCATGTTTTAAAAAAATCAACAGAATCTTTCTTTTATTAAAGACTATCTAAAATTTTTAAAACTAAAAATACAAAATAACTTAAATTAGATTGTTACAAACTAGTTGATTTTATTTCAATTTATGTCAATAAAATATTTTCAATTATGTTGATTTAACTAGATTTTCAATGCTAAAACCATTTGTGAAATGATCATAGGAGGTTAGTATGAACACATTAAAGGATATGTGGTATTAATATTTCACATTAAAAACTATTCATTTATCATAACTATTATCTTTGCTATTTTTATTTTTTTAATTTATAATGGTTGTTATCTTGTTTATTTTTTATTATTTTTATTTTTCATGAAATTAAAAATTGTTTGTTAACACCAACAAATAAATTAGCTAAGCATATTAATAAGAGAAAATAAAAAAATTCCAACAATCGTTGTATTTGTTGTATTTTATAGGCCCGTCGGTATTTTCATCAGTGCAAAATAGTTTTTATTGCCAAATTATTTATGTATTCCTTGTGTATTCATCCTATAAATAATTAAAATTACAGTAGCACACAAAAAATAATAACAAAAATTCTTTGTGTAATAATAAATATCACCTAAAATAAATATTTTCTTGTGATTTAATAATAAATAAATGTTATTTCCATTATATTAAAATTAATTTTATTCAAAAATATTATTTTATAGTTTATAGCATTACACATATATGTTGTATAAATTAATCTAAATTGCTTTTTTTAATTTTAGTATCATAATATCCATTATAATCTTTTATGTTGATTTCATCATTATAATCTTCATCAACTTTATTAATTTTACTAATGGGATATTTCCATGGATGTGTCATTTATATTTATTAATTTTCTATTACCAAGTGAAATAAAGCAGATAGTTAAGAGATCACGGATCGATGCCCGGATGCGATGTATTGGTGGATTGTAACAGTAGAGAGATGGCAGTTAGCGATCCATAAAGAATAAAGAGAAAGGGGTTCCAAGATGTCGGCTCTAAATCTAGCTTCCATTTTAGTTTGTGCAATCAAAGGGCAAATGTTCAGATTCTTCTTCCATTACACGTATACAACTATACGAGGTGTCGCTTTCATGGTGTAGCTGCTGGGTTTCCTACAGTTCCTGAGGGCACGAATGTCATTTGGACATTAATTTCTAATTTTCCTATAGTTTTCAATATACTGGGTTAGCCTAAAAGTGATAAAAATCCAACAATTCTGGCCCATAAGTTAGGTGAGATGTTTGCTGCCCATTATACCGTGCCCAAAAATACCAAGAAAAATCTAGAGAAAATACGGGCCCAAACTAAATCACGCTTCTGGGCCTATGGGCCTGAAAGCCACTCTCCCTCACATTCGCGACATTATGCGGTGTCGTTCCAGGTGTGATTGGGTATTTCGCGACTCCGTCAGAACGCCCGTCCCGATTCCCTTGGACTCACGTTACATATATATCTTGAATCACCGTTGATTTTCTCTATAAAAACGTTGGATCTGCGGATTTTTGGGCATGCCCTACTGTTTGTGATTATTGACATATTTTAATTCCTGATTCTTTTGTTAACTTGGTTATTTTAAGAATCTGACTTCGACTCTGATGCTATATTTACAAGTAGTTTAGCATCGAATGCTAGAAAATAATATATGAAAAGTATGTTAATCAGAAGAATGGAAGGGGGGTAAAGCTTATGAGGGATACCTCAATAAGCATAGAGTTGCAAACTAGTAACTGGATACTTTTCATCTTGGTTAAGCTTCCAGATTTCAATACATGGCAGATGGATTTCACAAGTAAGCCGCTTCTAACTGAAGTCATCTTCTGGTAATCACAGGAATGAAAGTGCATGGTAGTGACCTCAGAGTAACTGCTTTAGATACTGAGGTTAGTTCCTCTTTAATTTCTGTCTCATATCCTAGAGTTAAGATTGCCCCAGAATCTTGGGTCATGGTTAATAATTATCACCTTTTTCATCTTCAAATGGAAGTACATGTTGACAAATTTTGTTTGCTCGAATTTCTCAATCAGATGATGGGTAAAGTTAATCGAGAGAGACTGGCAGAATGAATACCTTGGCGAGCTGCAGCGGAAAGAAGATACAAACGATCGCTATGTAGCTGCTCTAAGAGGCGAGACAGAAACCATATGTAAGGATTCAGTCAATACCCAAGCGGAATAACATTGAAGCGGACAAGGAGCTGAAACTTGATAACGATCAAGGGAAGCAGATTAGTTGATGGTTCTTGCTGATGTGATCCTTTCCATATTTGGTATATTAATGTCATAGCAGCACAAGAAATGCAAAATGGTCCCTTTTCGTCTTGTTACGCAACAGCTTGTAGCCTGTGTTTTATTTGGAATATTTCTGCTTTGGTATGGGTTTTTTCATACCCACTGGGAATGACAACAATGTATTTCATATTATAATGTTTCTGATTTGCTTTTGGTTTTGCATCTTGAACCCAAAATGCCTCTCAGCTATTTGCAGTTTCTTGGTAGTTCATGGAAAAGATGATGTTAGTGCCTAAGCTTGATTCCATGCCTGGCAAACGAGGCTTGGGAAGAAGTGACATGTTTTATGCACAAGTGTATCATTTATAAGTTTTTATCGCTGGATACCATAGTTTAAGCAGACAGGTATGATAATAGGAATCCTCGTAATCGCATCAGAACGAAAAGCAAGTCATTGATGAATTTCTCACATTGCTTAATTCAAGTCCTGTTAATTTTAAAGTTCAATGATGGCAGGGAAGTTGATTGAGACAGAAATTCATACAACTTCGGGCTAAAAGCATCTGGGCATATTCTTAACTTCGGGTCAATTTTGCTAATGAGCAGCTGTTTCCCTTTTGAAAAGCCCTTGCAACCCCTTTAATTTGCAGATGATCAGTGTAACCCGGGGGCTAACTGCAGTGCTGGAGTCGAGGAGGAGGTTAAAGCCGTGCAGGGGCGGCTTTTGACTTGGCGAATCGCTTCCCAAAGCCGTAAATTATATTCTAAATTACTTAGAGATGAAGTGATTCCACAAGCTAAATTTTGCAGCACAGCAAATATATACATCATTCTTAACCGTACAAAGAAGTTCTGCATCAACTTTAGAAACAGAACAAGATACAGAGCGAAGAAATCTGACTCTGCCTTAACAGTCAAACACACGCTCATGCGCACGCACAAACACGCACTAAAAAGAAAGCAAGAGAACCACGTACAGTTCAAGATACAATCCCCTTGATCCAGTTGTTAAGCAAACAGCCTGATACGGCTGGTGATTGGCCGGCGGCATATAGGGCAACTGGATACTCTTGATCCACAATCTCTACAAGTCTACAACCAAGCAACGGTATTAGTAACGTAACAAAAAGGTTAAGAAAAAACAAAGATGGCAATGTTTAGGTGGCAGCTCACCATGTGCCCACAGGCGAAGGCCAAGTCCTTTCCATTAGTCAGACAAATAGGGCATGCCTATAATCAAATTGAAAGATTGAAAAACACATATTTCAAAGTTATAAATTATAGACTATATTCCAGACAAAAAGACAGCATTACACGAGATTATTTTCAAACCTGGGTTCTTTCATCCAAGACCGGAGAAGAAACATGGGTTGGTTCACGACCTAGCACCGGACGACGAGAATACGGAACTGGAGGAGGGCGTGGTACGATTTTCTTTGCTTGTCCCGTAGAACGTCTTTTCTCCAAAGGCCATTTAAATATATGAGACAACACGTAAAAGCAAATGGATGGTATGCAGAACAAAGTGGCCAGTGCATTAGGAATTCTGGGAAACGTAAAAATGGAAATCCTTCCATTGCTGTTTTCTCATTGAAATTGAAAGGACAAGCCAACCAATTTTTTCCATACCCAGATTCAGAGCTAAGACGTGCTGACCAGTTTTAGAATTGGCTCCCCTGCTGAAGGCCTTTATTTTGAAATTTTCAAAAAGTTTTCAAATGCTGGCAATGCTGTTGTGCTAAAAAAATGGAGCAGTGAATAAACACGTTTATCAACCTACCCGATAATACCAAACTCAACAGCTGCTTTATACTGGAGGGGAATCTCCATCAGAGCAGCTAGAGCAAAAGCTGTTTCTTTCTCGGAGATGGTTGCATTTTTTGACATAATTGCAGTGAAATTAACGAACTGCACACAATTCAAAAACATGTTGATAGAGTCTAGAACGTATATTAAATTAAATCAGAATGTTGGATGGCATTCGAACTTAAAACGTATATTAAATTGGATCAGAATGTTGGATGGCATTCGAACTTAACATTCATTTTGCTATCACTATACCTGAAAATTGTCAAATTCACGTGCTGGGATTTTGTCATCAAATCTCTTCATGTCTTCCCAAGGCCCATCCCCAACTCCAACAAGAATTATCGAAAGTGGGTATGCACTGTTTAAGAATATTATAAGGTTACACATTGTGATTGCTTTTCATAAAAGAAATGGCAACACATTTCAGAATAAAAACCACTCCATTTTCTGGCATTGTTAGAATCCGATGATGAAAATCATTAGATTCAACTTTACATCCACTTACTGTTGATACAGGCTGACTGGCATGTTAGGGAACACAAAACAGGTAAACTCAGTTGCAATAAAGTTATGAATAACTGACTGTGGAGGAGAACATGAAGCAATCATTCTGCATCCTGGATGTTCTGTGTGGACTTTTGAGTGTTTTTCACATGCAAATGCAATATCGAGCTGGCATGACACAAACAAATAACTGGATAACAATCTGGTTATGACGCAAGATATTCTGTATACTTACTAGGATCTAAAAGTAGATTGTTAACCCCGTATGATTCATTTGATAGTTTACAAGTGAATGGGATCACCTCTCAATAAATAAAGACAGCCATCAGGTGACCACCTTCTTTTTATGCAACTGCTGAAGTCATGTACATCTATCTAGGCAAGTCATGTAACAATAGCAGGTCAAGTATAGTAGTCTGTAAAGTGGAATGTCATGGCCATTCTAGTGGCAATGAAAAGTAAGTTTATCAAGCAGCTGCTAATGATTAGCAACCCTTTTCCATAACCAGCATAACACCAAATGTAAATGGGCTGGCACCCAAAGCGCTCTAAGAAAGTGATAGTTCTAATAAGAACCTAAGTTTGTCATTTTAATTAGATGAAAGTTATAGTATGACACTAGGTTATATTTTCTATGAATGTTAGTCTAAGCAAGTTTAAATGATTTGCATTTATCTGCAAGGCTCGACCTTGCATCGACAATTGCCTTGATTGTTTGCTCCTCTTGTGGACTCATTTCTCCATCGCCTGTATCCACACTTCTTGTGACCTTCACAGAAAAAGAGGTTATTACTTTGATTACATATGCATCCATCCATACAGAATCAAACATATGCAAGCATGCAGAAAAGGAGAGAGGGTTTTGAATTCAGACCTGGCCATCTGCAATGATGAGCAATACATGATATTGGCCTTTACTTTTTTCCACAATGTCAATTGCAGCCTCAATCACCGGTCCGTACGAAGTCGGCCCTTAAACCAAAACATATATCGGTGAAGATTTTTGTGGCTCCTCGAGAAATAAGTAAAACACAAGAATCTTTGTAGAAGTAGTGTTCAACCATGGGTCTAATTAAGAAAACCAAGGAATTGATAAAGGACCAAATTCCAACATCAACTAAGCAAGGAACAAACCTGAAAGTCGCAAGTTTGGAACAATCTTTTTGTAGCATGCCAAGACTTCTTCAAAACCATGGCAAGGTGAATGATCACTGTGAAAGCTAAACACCTCTTGATCATGAGTGGTGGCTGTATAGATAAAAAGAAATATCAATTCAACAGATGAGTTATAAGGTGCAAAACTAGAAACAACATTGCTTCCACTGAACCTACCATCACCAAAGCCAAAACAAGGAATTAAGTTGTCTTCATCAAAAGGAGCCATCGTCTTTCCAATAATAGAGATGGCTTTCTCATATGGATTAGGTGTGTCTCCGATGGCATGAAGGCTACGATTGTTGAACGAGACTTTGCCTTCAAAATGAAAATCAACAATTGACATCCATGAGAGACAAACCAATTCAAAGGAACAGAAAACACGAGGTTATAATTGAACCATTCTGCTATATTATTAGATTGCCGCCCCCTTAGGTTTCTAAAGATTGGTTTTTCAACCCTGAATACTTAATTTTAACTTCATGGAAGTCTCAAAGTCCAAATTCCTGAATAACTGATAAAGTAAAACACAAATTTTATGGTACAAATCGAAGATGTGATTACTTCACTTGCACTTACCTGTCCATTCATTGCTTTTAGTGAAATCAATTCCAACAATGAGATTCGATGATTCCAGTCCAGCTTCCCTCAAGGCTGTCGTAACCTGAAAGAGAGAGAGGGGGGGGTGAGCCTGTTATTAGTAGACTGCGAGAATTCAACCAAGTAGCCATTATTATTCCTATACTGAAGCAACAAACTTCTGTTAGTGAAATTACGTACATTGCTAGCAAATGATTTCGATGCATAATCAACAAACACTTCAAAGCAATACCTAGCGTTAACAATTTAATGCTATAACACATGATGAGCGTTTGCAGAAGATTTACAAAAGCTCTGCGTATTTGAAGTTGCAACTTGCACCTTACCCTTGAACTAGTGACTCGACTAATGGATTTTTAAAATTAAGGTACATTGGTCAAATTAAAGAATAAAATCTGAAATATAAATTTCAGACAAAATACAAGGACAATGTTAATTTTCATCACAATAAATATTTTTTTTATTTCAAAAGCGTTTTTAAAAAATAAAAATAAAAATCCTTTGTTTTTTTTTTTTTCAGATCATTTTGATTAAAAACAATAGTGATATTATTAGCGGTGACCGGCGGGATTGAAGCATTGCAGTGACGCAAAATCAAACTATCGGAAAACAGAGTGATAATAACAGTAGCGTATGTAATCAATGCTGGCCTAGATCATCAACGTTTATCAAACGCCGAGCGTCGCGTTAACACTGAACAGTCGACGAAAGCACAGCTGGGTCCCGAAACCCAGTAGAGTTGACTCGGTCATTCGCTTTTGTTAATCAGAAGAGCGGGCGTCCACGGGGAACCCG